ATCCGCGGGGCCGGGGCTCAAAATGACCGAAATAGGCCCTCTTTTCTCTCAACCTTCAGGCCGTGGTGCTGTGCGCTTATCTGGAGAGGGGAAGCGTTGACTTGCGAGATCGGGCCGTCATCGAGCTGGGAGCCGGGACCGGGCTGCTGGGAATAGTGGCCACCTTGCTGGGTAAGGGCCGTTGGCTTGCTCGTTCGGAGCGATTCACAGCTCGGGAGTCAGCGCGCGGTACTCGCCGCGCGGTATTTACGGACGCCGGTCATTCGTCTGAGCCGCGCGCTCCTCTTAACGCTCAGGTGCTCGCGTTACCGTCACGGACCGGGCGGCAGCGCTGGCGCTCCTGGAGTCGAACGTCCGGGCGAACTTACCGCCCGAGCTGCAGCCGCGAGCTGCCGTGAAGGAGCTGACCTGGGGAAAAGACCTAGGTAACTTCCCTCCGGGGGCGTTTGACTTCATCCTGGGCTCAGACATCGTCTATCTGGAAGAAACTTTTGCGGATCTGCTTCAGACGTTGGAGCACCTGTGCGCAGAGCGCACCGTCATCCTGCTTTCCTGTCGCATTCGCTATGAGCGGGACCTTAACTTCCTGAAGATGCTGAGAGGCCGTTTCTCCGTACACGAGGTCCACTACGATCCCAGCAAGGACGTACATATATACAAAGCGCAGAGGGGTGGCTGCAAGGATGAAATTTGACTCTGGGCTTTGTTAGTAAACCACCGATGCTGTTCAATCCTCCCCTTGTTTCTACCAAATACACTTGTTTCTAAGCATAAAATGGCAAAGATGATGTTTTCCACCGGCTTGTTGTCCGATGTGGCAAGAACCGTGCACGCTAGCGTTCTGCGTATGGAACCTCTGCTTGGTTCCTCAGTATGACAGGTATAAAGTCTTCCACTGACTTTTTGTCAGATGTCATTTCTTGAAGCTGATTTAAGTTGTGGAAATCTCCATGCATGAAAAACGTTATTAAAAGATCTGTTGTTTAAAATCAAACCACATTTAATGACTTCTGTGGGACACTTACAAACAGATAGGGTATTTTTTTTTTCCCCCTTATCCCTTTCCTCAACTCTGGAGAAGTAACCAGATACCTTTCCTTCAGGGGCAGATACACATGCGTAGGTATGCCAGTAGGGAAACTGCAACAAGAAGACGCAAACTGTTCTTTAAAGATCGAATCAGCTCTTGACTCTCAAAGCACTACCAGATAATGTTCTGCTTCCTGCTTTAATTTATCCGTAGGGTTTAGTGTCAGGGGCGTGCGTGTTCTTCTTGTTACTCGGGAGCTTGCTTGACTTTGGCATGCTTTCTGTACACAGTGGTAGGCAGATCCTGTCCTAAGCAACTGATTTCATGCCTTGGGCTTGTGGAAATGCCTGTGTGTATTTAGCCCATAAAATCCGAAGTGAAAAATGCTGCAGGCTGGGATCTGGCTCATATCCCGAGCAGACTTCCTTCTTTTTCTGATGGGGGTGAATGACTTTGGTGAAAAGCACCCAGTGGCCTCGTGGAAGACAGCTGCACTTATATAAGTGCAGGAATTGCTTAAGTATGTTTTTTTCATGTAAGTAGAACTTCTTCTGTGTTATACTTAACTTACAAAGCCCCAGGTTAGGTTCAAGTATGTTCATCGCTAGCCCTAGCAACAGCACAAGCCACCAGCTGTTTGGGGCCATGGACGCAATGAGCTCTTGATCTCCTGTGCTCCCATCAGACTTCCCAATTGAAAAGGATGTGTGGGGCCTGTGGCCCTGGTAAACCGCAGTCTGGAAATGACATTTGTCATTACAGCTGCCATGAACGAGGCCGAAGGTCTTGTTTGTCATCCCTGAAGACTCTCTCGTGAGTTTTCCACTAAAGCTAACTCTGAACTTGGTCTGAGGGTGGCTATCCTACACAACACAACAGTATCCTTGTGAGCCACATGGTGTCACTAAAACAGTACATACTCAGCTTGCTGAGACTTTGCCATCTGGAACTTGAGTCAAAGTTCTTTGAGGGAAAGAAAACAGCACCTTTAATTAAAAACAGAACATAGTATGAGCTCTAACGTGCCAGACATGGCTTTTTCTATCCTATCAACTGGGTGAACAGCGCTGGAAAAAAACTACAAGCTCTCCACACTCTCTTAAATGTTAAGTTCTCACCATTCCTCTTCCTCCCCCCTCATTGGCGTTTCCCTCTCTCCCGGTTGACCCACGGTGACTGCATGTCTAGCTGCCCCGGCGGGAGCTGGCGGGGAGCAGAGTGCTTGCTCTCGCGCTCGGCCGCATGCGGGACTTGGCCCGTGAGCAGTGCCCGCTACCCAGCTGCGCTCAGCCCTGCCAGAGGCTGCAGCTTGCAATGCTGTGAGCGGCCGCAGCCTGCGTTTTTGCCATAGTGGGAACAACGTGCCTGCTTAAATAGCACAGAATAAAGCCTGGTGTCGCCACCTGCATGCTCTAGGGTTAAGGGGACTTTGCTTCAGGCTTTGCTTTGAAGATGGGAAAAGTTTCATATTTTTAAAGCAAATCAGTTTAACTGTGTTTCCTTTTAATTGTTTAACAACTTTCAGTGTCTGCTTTCCTATTGCTGCTGTTGTAGCCAGTGGCCTACCTGAGAGAGCAGGTACGTGGCAGGAGAGAGATCAGGCTTGACTTCTGCGGGTTGCTGTTGTGCAGTGTCTGCATGCAAAGCCCAGGGAGTCTGTTCGAATGTACCTGTGGAAGAAACGCGCCTGTACGTAAGTAAATGCTCGTGGAGCAGAGCTTGAGACAGATGCTGACAGCTCGGGTGAGTGCCTTGCCCCAGCCCCGCAGAGCTGAGCTCTGGGTTGGCCCCTCCCCAGCCCAGGGTGCTCTTGACAGCGGAGAGGCCTGTCCTCGGACCACCGCCGGGGTAGGAGGCCAGTCCCAAATCCGGGCAGACGAAGCGGGGTTTGACTCTTTTCTGCCCACAGCCCGCGCGCAAGTGAACCGCCGCTTTCCCAGGGGGCCTCTGCCCTTTATGAACAGACGGGAGCAAAGAGCAGGGGGAGGCGCAGCAATACAAGGGCACGGGTCCCCATGGCCGGCGTTAACAGTGACCTGAGGCATCGTCAGGAAGGCTGGGCTGTGGGTTGGGCCAGCAGAGAGAGAGAAGGGGCAGACAAGAACATTGCAGTTGGGCTTAGCAGCCAACATGGGCACAATGAGCAGTTATGCCTGGTTGCATACTGCAACTTCGTTAGCACCAACAAAGAGAACATGAAACTCAGCCGAAGCCAACAGCCCGTTCCCGTCAGGTAGCGCGGACACCCACCTGCTAGCGAGCAGCTCCTTCCTGTGTCCCAGGCTGGCCTTCGTAGCTCTTCTGTATCACCATCGCACCTAGGCTCGGGGGACTGGCAGGAGCGAGTGGCACCAGATGTGCCGGACAGACGGAGCACAGGTGCCACGGCCCGGTGAGCAAGCACACGGAGAGCAGCCTTCAGCACCGACCCAGCGGGGATGGAGGCGGCAGCAATCTTGGGGAGTCCTGACCGGTCCGTCCAGGTGAGCTTCTGCCCTACCGTGAAATGACACGTTAATGCTTCAGCAGCTGTACGGCACGCACGCTAGCACGCCGCCTGGGCCGTTTGTACCACTGTGTGCATCCCAGCACCGAAGAAGTCAGCATGGTTGCCTTTTGGGTGGTTCCCCTGCATCAGTCCCGTTTTGTAACATGTGAACCCATTTGGAGGGAGAATGTGTTTGCGCACGGGACCCCGAGTGATGGGATGATGCATAAACCCTCTGTTGTGAAATGAACTACTCATCCAAGGGGAGAGGGCCCACGTCGGAGAGACGTGTGACTGGATGGACACGGTGTGAGGTTGCGAAACCGTTCCTGAAATGTGCCATTCTGTGAGGGAGCAAACTTTTCTCTAATGTCATTGCAACTAAAATGATGTTTGGTTAATAGTAAGAGTATGAAATTCAGCTCTTTATCTTAAGGGCAAAGAGCTTTAAGGCGCAGCAGCGTCAGGAGAATCGGGTTTACCAGCTGGCCTACTGGCTGCACGGCAATCTGTGTTACCTGATTGTTTTTAGTATAAAATTCAAGCCAAACTGTATTTTTATCTTGTGGACTAACCCCTACCTGGGATTCTCCCTCATTACTGAGATGTAGCTTTCTGAATAAATATATGAATGTCATTATGAAAAGGCTCAGTTGTGGAAACCATGAAATCCCGGCCACAATGAGCTGACCTTACTGCTCTCCCTCGATTTCACTAGAGGTGGGTTTACATCAGCGTTGAATTTGTTCTTCTGGCTTTTATCCCAGTGTTTTGATCCAGCTTTGTAGATTACATAATCGAGTTATGATCTTTGCAGTGTTTGCTGCCGTCTCTTCTGTTATTAAATTCAGTACTACATGGTTTACAGGAATGTTTAAAAGTGGGAAAGACAGCATATTTAAACTGTACAAGGGAAAAAATCTGTCACACATTAATCAAACGGAACTACTTACCACGAGAACGGGTACAATAAAGCAGATTTAAAAATAAGATTCAGAAATGGAAGAGAAACTGTCCTTCAGGCTTTAACCTCTCATTAATCTGATTAAATTTAATTAAAATTAAAAAGCCTTCCCTTTGAGAAAATTATCTCATAAACACTTACAGCAGGCTACAGATCATAAGAGAGGGGACACCACAATCTGATTAAAATATGCCTTTTCCCACGGTTCTATCTAGCTACCATTTGCTCCTCAATTAATGTAAATGGAACATCCTGCTCAAAAAAGAGACTTTGAAGAGTTTTTTAAAGCATGTTTATGTGACTGCACATAAATGTTTGTGTAAAAAGGGAGTTATGACAGTTTATACCACAAAGGTTACAGTAAGAAAAAGCACTTCTTTATGACAGTAATTCACAAATTCACAAGAATCACTTTAATATACAAAGCAATTACTACCATTCTGAAACACAAAGCAGCTAATATGTACATAGTGTTAATAAAATGCATTATAACCCAGTACAATTATTTTAAAACACAGATAAAGCACAAAAAAAAAGTAAAAAAAAAAAAAAAAAAGGGATGTTTCTAAATTTTGGGGAAACGTAAATAAGATTTTTTGCCCCCCCAACAATGGATTTGCATTTAGTCTTTTAACTTCCACAGGTACGTGGGAGTCCAGCTCAAATACCCTGTTCTGTGCTGATACGCTTTGGGTAAAGAATCAGAAATGCAGGTGAGGTGAAATTACTCTTTCCAGCATACATTACAAAAGGAGAATAATAACCCTTGCTCTAGAAGCTTCCCTGAAAAACATTGTTCCAAAACAATTGCAAGTTATAAATCCAAACTAGAAAGAATTCGTTTTTGAAGTGAACAACCAATCTGGGGACAAGTCTGCGGAGGGGCTGGCTAGCGCCTCTCCTTGCCCCGTTCCCCCTCCCATCCCTAGAAGTCCGCATAAGTAGCACAGTCAAATCTCATACAAACTCGCAATTCTAAATTTTTAAAAAATTTATAATATAAATAAATGTCATTACACACAAACAATGGAGTGGCACCTGGATAAAACATAACTTGTAGAGAGCGACCTAACATCCTCAGTCCTTCATTTTGGCCATCTCCACACAACTGAGTGGCTCAAGGCCTTCCCTCCCCTTGTTTTTACTCAGCTGTCTCCTAATTTAGAGAAATACCATATAGCTGTGGCTGCGACTCAATGAAGTGACTGCTCCCAAGTCATGAGTACAGTATGTGGTCAGCTCCTGGAAGTGTACTAACTGCAGACCTTTTCCCTGGCCCTTTCCCTGCCCAGCATAGAGCTCCTGAGGACAGCTGACTTTTCCTGCTTCTTGCTGGTGAAAGCGAGACCTAAACTTACCCTCTTACACAGCAAGTCAAAAACTCTGCACTTGCAGTACTAGAATGCAGACAGGTCAGCGTCTTTAATTTGTGCTACACAAATTAACCTGTGCAAGTCTCTTTGCAGGCCAGGGCTTAAATACATTTAAAAAATACATTCCAAGGCAAAACACCTGAAATACAAACCTTCTTTACAAACTGGATCTGGTCCCTTTTCCCAAAAGATGTACAAATTTAAGCCATATCCATCCACAGTCCTGAACCTGTCACGAGCACACAGTAGAGTTAGGACTGTCCTGTTTCTCTTATCAGTCTGGCTCCTCCCAGGCTGACTGAGCTTCATGATACATTCAGGTTTCTGCAAAATCAGTGTTCTTCCTAACTAGCAAATTCAACAGCTCAAGGGAACTA